ACTGAGATTAATATACTGAGATTAATTCACTGAGATTAATATACTGAGATTAATTCACTGAGATTAATACAGTGAGATTAATATACTCAGATCCAGGAGGAGAGAATCCTGAAAAGTCAGCAACTGGATGCAATCAGCTGGTTTCACTCTGTTACAAACAGAATGCAGTGATTCCCACCAGCTCTGCAGCATAGATGGATTACAGGAAACTAAAAACTGTTTGGACAGGAAGTGAGACTGATTTCAAAATAAGAGCAGGCGGGACACGGTCAGTGTGGAGGGAGAGTGGAAGTCAGGGAGCTTTTCAGAGCTATGATGATGTCATCCAACAGAGACAAACAGCACAAATACTAGAATGAAAGTAGAACCAGAAATGATGAGGAAAGTAGGCGCTGTCAGGAAAATCTCCACCCTGTGACACGGGGACGCCTTTTCAGAGGGAGGGCAAAGTTCAGGAAGAGAAGCAGGCCGGCCTCACCTTTCTGCAGGGCTTGGAGGAGACCTCGAAGGAAGCCTTGAAGGCACGTCTCTGCTGTGTGGTCAAGATGGTGCGCGGCCGCTTAGGCCGGCGAGGATCTTTACTGTCATCGCTTCTCCTCTCTAACTTAACATCCAAAGTTTCCTCTTCACTCTTTTCTGTCAATCAACACATCAAACATCACTTGATTAAAAATAACAGATTCAGATTCACACAAAAACAACAAATAAAGAACCCGATTTAGAGGAAAGGTTTAGTTCTACCTGAGTCTGAGGCCTCGGGGCTGGCTCCCTCCATCTGATAGTCGGCCTTACACAGCAGCTGACCTGCCTTCACCACAAACTGGTCTCCTTTGCTCAGCCGGCGCCCACAGACGCTGCAGCAGAAGCAGCTGAGGTGGTAAACGCTCTGCAGAGCGCGCATTACCAACTCTGTAGGAGCAATGTGCTCCAGGCAGCCGCTGCATTTGGTGGAGAACAATCTGAGAGCAGAAAAAGGAACCGGAAACTTAGACCACTGCAAAGAAACATCAGATTAACAGCAGAAAAAAACATTTAAACTCACTGATGTTCCACTGAGGAACTGGGAAACATGATGGAGCTGCATCCAGATTAACCTTCTAAAACCAACAAACTTTTTTCTGACCAAACCAGCTCGTTCCTAGCAGAGCATGATGGGAGCAGGAAGAGGAACCCGATCAGAGCAGCCTGGTGCTGATTGGTCGCTCCCTTCCAGTGGTCCTTAGGAAAGGCTTCCTGCTCCTAGGACGCCTCTCACAGGCGTAACCCCGATGGAAAGGAAACGTTTTCCAACCACAGCAGGACAGCTATACTTCACTAACTGCAGTAATAAATGATATGATCTATGCACACAGATCTATCCACCACTTCCTGTAGCAATGTTATTCTCACTCTGCTTTTATCTGAATAGTTTCGATTAGAGTCTGTCTATAACAATAATTACTGCTGATGTGATTCCCTGTCAGGTTTTAAAGGTCATTTGATCAACTAAGTTCTTTCAAAGTAAAATAAATGTTTCCACAATGAGAAGAGACACAGACAGCCTAGATCTTTACATGGAACTGGATAGATATTAAAAACTAGAAAGGATCCAACTGAAAGAGCTCTAAACTGAAGATGAGACAGAAATGAAAAGTTCTTTCTTTTAAATAAAACCGTCTTAATGAACAGAAACATGAAAAGTGCTGCAGCAGAGGAAGCCTTCAAAGGGGGGACAGCCAGAGGTCAGGGCGCCATGGATGGTTCTGCTCTCCACAACCACTGGAGGAGAAACATCTGCAGGGCTTAGAGGAGGAGTGGTGCAGAGTGTTCTGAGCTGGTCTCCATGAACACGGCTGCAACAGGCGCAGGGCCCAGAGCTGAATATTACAACTACAGAAAACAGATTGGTCACTTTGAGAGGACAAAGACCTGAAGGGGAGCTGAGTCTAGCTCAGATGAAGGCTCTACCCCAGCTGGTGCAACAAAGATCAGAAAACATAGAAGTTAGAGCCAGAGTCACTAAGGGACGTTCTTAGGGTGAACATTTCTAGAGAAGAGCATCTTCCTGTTCTCCACCTCTTCCTTTAACCGCTGCCTCTTTGCCCGTCTGGTTGGAGCTGAATGAAAACACCTGACATCCCTGCATCCAGTGCTGAATCCAAATGTTTCTCTTAATTTCAACTTAACATCATCATAAAAAGGGATCAACGAGTTTTAAATCGGTTTTCTACCTTTTAGCAAAGCATTCACATTTCATTAAGAAGTCACCAGTTAAACGTCATTGAACTGGAAAAGTGTCACGGAAGGAGTCGATTATAAGAATTGATTTATCCAAATCCCTGCCAGACGACAGAGGAAATTTTAATGTTTTAACATTTTTACTGTTGTGGTTTAGAAAAAATCGATTAAAAAACTTAAAACAAACTAAACCTAACATCATGCTAAGCATTTCTACATCTATAGCTCTATTTATGCTTGAGATCTGCATGTTAATTCATTTTTAGCATCCATGCCCCTCCATGCAGACGGGTTGATAGATCTGTGCAGAAAAACATTGCAAGCGAGCAACGGCCCTACTGGCAACGGTTTCCAAATTTAACCACCAAGAGCTATCCTGTGATTTAATAGATTCAATTCTATTCAGTTTATTTCTATAGCTCCAATTCACATCATGTCATCTCAGGGTCCCTTTCCAGTTCACCAGATCATCCAGTCAGATTGATTCAAAGTTTTCTATCTAAGGAAAACCAGCTGATTGCATAAATATCTCCTCTGCATCACTGAGCAATAGTGCAGAAGCTTCGTTTATTCCCGTTTACAGATGGATGATTTTGTTGATAGGGTTGCTAGTTCTGCCTTAGACAATGCTGCCCCTGTTGAACAACACTGTAAGCCAGAGCGGGGGCTCGAACCGACAACCCTCCGATTGCAGGGCTAACTCCTGCACCCGACTCCACTGTCCCCCTTAAAAAATAAATAAAAAACCATCTCTATCAACAGATTGTAACTGTTGAACAGGCAGTGGAGTCCAAGCAAGGGAACTATTCTTCTTCTCTGTCTGTAGATGAGTCCAACCAGACATTTCTTTAGAGCGGACTGCAGAGTGTGAGCAGTCGGATCTCATCAGAGATCCTGTGGTTTAAAAGTTCAGTTTGAGCAACATGTGGATGAGCAGCGACTCCCAGCATAGCTGGCCATCCTGTGGAGGAGGCTTATTTCAGTCGTTCAGATCCAGGATCTTGTTCTTTGTTTCAGACCCAAATGTGGGTCAGCAGGGCACCCCAGAAGGCCCTGCCTGAGCCCAGCAGTCTGTACGGCGTCCTGGACTCCCAAACACCTCAGCTGGAAGTGGAAACTTCACCAGAGGAGGCTTTAAAGTCACTGCTGACAAGTGAAATGCCATCAGACCCAGGCGGAATGAGGCAGCAGATGTTTTCCACTGGAACATGGAGCTCCTGGTTATTGGAAACATTCATATTCCACTAATGCAGTGTCAGCAGTCAACAGCTCAGGTTGTATTCGCCTGATCTGGGACCCAGGAGAGGGGACCTCCGATCCGTTTGCTAAAGACTGCCCCTTTACCTACAGACCCCCTATAAACAGAGCGATGGCAGAGCTGAGAGGCCTGCCAGCTCTGAAACCTCGGTGGAAGAACGTGGTTCTAAACAGGGAAGAGGTGGAGTCTGTTCCAACCTTCAGGTTTCAGCAGCATCTTCTTTCTTAGAAGGTCAAGGAGAAACAAACTCCTTCCTCCTGTGCTGAAAACCTTTCCCCACTGGACCATGGGCTCTATGCAGCACTGCACTACTTCCTCATCATCAGGCAGCTCCTCCGTCTTTCAGTGCTGGATGAACTGATGAATTCAGGTGTGTTGCCATGGTTACTGAGGTCAGGCACACCTGGATTCATCATTCGGTGGGGATCCACACAGACATCCAGATGAACTGAATCTGACATGAAACACCTGAAGCTCATGAAGAACGCACCCCTCTATTGGAGGAGAGGAACTCCAGCTGTCTCACAGTGATCTGGGATGAACGTCTCCATCCTGGACTCTCTCTGCAGCAGGATTACTCTGGTGGACTCAGAGCCATGCAGGTCTGAGTCCACCAGACTAATCCTGCTGCAGAGAGAGTCCAGGATGAACGTCTCCATCCTGGACTCTCTCTGCAGCAGGATTACCCTGGTGGACTCAGAGCCATGCAGGTCTGAGTCCACCAGAGTAATCCTGCTGCAGAGAGACTCCAGGATGAACGTCTCCATCCTGGACTCTCTCTGCAGCAGGATTAGTCTGGTGGACTCAGATCCATGCAGGTCTGAGTCCACCAGAGTAATCCTGCTGCAGGGAGACTCCAGGATGAACGTCTCCATCCTGGAGTCTCTCTGCAGCAGGATTAGTCTGGTGGACTCAGAGCCATGCAGCTCTGCACCAACAGACTTCAACACACAGCAGAACTAAAATGAACCCTGTACAGTGACCATCCAGCTTCTTCTGATGGTCTAGACTGGATGAAACTGGCCTCCTTCATCCACCCAGCTTCACGCTGTACCAGGCTTCTCTATTCCAGTCTCACTATAACCTTTTAGTTTTGGTGTATTTTAAGTCAGATCCCATTAGTGGGATTGAGCTTTAGAAATTTACTGCTTCTGCCACCTGCTAATATATAAACATTTACTCACAGTTATGTTTGCAGCATTATTTATTTTATTTTATTTTTTGAACATCAGACAGAAAAAGGTCATTTAAAAAAAACCAATCAGGTATTTTTCCCATTTTTTTCCTACCTTTAAGTTCCTGATGCAGAATAAATTAGAGCGACTGGTTAATGGCTGTTTGAAAACATGCTGGTTGGCTCCCCACTCAATCTTCTGGCCTTTCTCTGACTTCTTGAGCTTTGGCTAAGCAAACAGTGCCGCTCCACTCAATGAAGCTTGCTTTTATTTCCTTTGCCTCCTTCACAATCATCTTTTGAGAACTCCAACTAATTAAAACCCCAGCAAGCTGCCACTGGAAGCCCCTGCCGTCCCCGCCAGCCTCTTCCATTAGATCATCCAGCTCCTCAAGAGGGAGAACAAACAAGACAACAGCAAAGGAACACACACAGTCTGTTTACCACTTCATCCATTCCTCCAGCTGCCTTTTCCCTTTAATCCTGTAGCCCTTTATGCTTTTGTAAGATGCTTGAACACTGTGAGGACATGGGGTGCAGGGCCAGAGGTTAAGGCCCATCCAAGAGGAGGCTGAAGAGAAGACAGGACACCTTTTTCATGAATCTTGGACTAAGTTTCATGTCAGTCTGAAAGCTGCTCCACACAAGATGTAGGAGCAACAATACAGGGTGGTGTTTGACAGGCTGCCATAGAAACAGCCAAATCCAGCCCCTGGGGGGGTCAATGAACACCCAGGACAGGTTGCCGGTTCTTCATAAGGCAAACTGTAAAATCAAAAGAAGGTAGAGGAAATGGATTTCAGTGCTTCAGCAGACCTGCCTGACTATCTGTGGGGTGAGTAGCTGCAGAGGGCTGCTGCTGAGGCAGCTTGGTTCAACCGAGGAAGTTAAAGAACATCTCTGAAGGTTCAGAGAAACTGTGGCTGGAATGATGGTTTAATATTTCGTAAACCAGTTCTCCCAGATCCGCTGCTCTGGACCTGCTCTGTGCTGGAGGTGAGTGAGGACAATGAACACTGAAATCAAACTGCATTCCTTATTTCTACCTTTGTTAACATTGTTTTCTCTGGATTCCATTTTAAATGAAAAAGCTTCTTCTCCATCCAGTCCCTGATGGCTGCTGTGTCCCGATTCCATAGAGAAGTTCAGCTGGTTTCATCTTCAGCCATCAGCGCTCCTCTCTCTCCATGATGTTTTACCTCAGCTCTACCTGGTAGCAGCAGGTGGGGGAGGGGCAGTGAACACTCTCACTGCGTAGAGTTCACTTCTGGACGCTTCACCGCGCGGTTTGAATAGGGGTTCTATGTGAACCAACTGCAGTTGCCAGAGACATTATGTCTGGTCTGAAGGCACCAGTACTGTGGAAACCATTCAAATGAAAACACAAAGCTGAGATGTGTCAGCTAAGCTGAAACTTAGAAA